CTTAGTGAATAAGTGCATTTATGATGGATGTGTGAACAAGGGCCGTACAGTTATCTCATTCATTTTAACTTTTAAACTGTTAGGTAAGTGATTCACACTTTTTGATCTGCATCAGATACGATGACAGTGTGAGCAAGGGCCAGTACACCCCTCACATTCATTCAAACTTTATACATTTCTGTTGGTTGCACTGATCCCTCTCAGTAAGCAGGGCTTTGAAAACAGCCTTACCATTCTATTTCTATATGTTTACTTGCATAACCTCCACTGAGCTAAACTGGTGGGACTAAGCAGTAAGTGACAGTGACAGCGAATGCCGTATAAAATGTCCTATTACTATGAACACACATGAGCCATTATGGCGCTAGTTGACAGTATCAGTATCAGTATCAGCTAGTAGTCGTATCAGGCGGTCGACACCTTTTTTCATTGTACATTTTTATTTGTAGGTACCAGTAGTTTCTGTTGGCGGTCGTCTTGCTTTGGCCTTGGGTGGGGCGGCCCTTTCACTCGTTCCTTGCTCTGGCCTGCAGCGGGAGTGCCTTCACCTTTACTGGGATAATGTTCTTGTGTATCTGGTTTTCCCAGCTTTATATGCTTTAATTTAATAACGGCCACTCCCGTGGCTAAAATATCCCATAATGGGTTTGTGATTATTTTGTGTCACAGCAAACAGAGCTCGCCCAAAGCGAGACTCCGCCAACATCAATAACTTTCGTAATATGCAAAGGAACATGAAGCACAAAAAGCCTTTAGACATTTTCTCACAGCAAATAGAGAGAAAACGTTCCAAAGAATATTTAGTTATATTTCTGGCTGTAAAAGAAACCTTTGATCGATTTTCTTGCCCGGAGTTCGTCTTTGAAAAAAGCAAACACCGGGAAGCTAGCCGGCTTAAAACATGAACTTAAGCTTTAAGCTCGAAGACTCGGGATTTTTAGAGACACTTTAATACTTGTCTTCCTGAATGGAAATTGTTGTCTCTGTATATGTTTCACCGAATTGTATTTCTTTTACTGATTGTTATAATTGATTGTTGATTGTTGTAATTTTAATCGCTGTGCCGATTGTTTTCAGTCGTTCAGTGAACAACGCTTCCAGGAGTACTCAAAATGCCGCGCGTTAAACCATTTTATAATAAAAAATAAACATAAAAAATTCTTTATTATGATGGAGCGTAACGCTGTTAATGTTCATTCAAACACTCGCCACAGCTCGCACTGCAAAAGTGAGAACCAGCTGGTCGTATAGGTGATTTTGGAATTTTTTTAACGGTTTAGCTAAAGGCCACGCGTGCTTCGATCGTCCTGAATACTGAATGACAGAAATTTTTATAGCAAAATTGTGAACTACTGCATTCTGTCTGAGGTCTGTATGATAAAAACAGTGTCTCGAAGTACTGTTTCACCTCAGATGTGATGTATAAATGATATAAAAGGTTGGTTTATCCGCACCCAGATTTGTTGGCAAGATTTTGTAAAGTAAACTTGTCGAACGCAGAAAATTTGGCCGGATTTTTTTTCCAAGCATAATTAATCTACGGTGATCAAGAGCCATTATGACTCTTAATAAATGTGATCGAAGATGATTGCCAGTTTTTGGGTGTACATATGAGGTTATCAACTCGATGTAAGATTTGGTTCACTTTTGGGCTGTTTGCAAATTATTTTTCTCTAACATCACTTAGCCTTTCCCTGAAAAGTCTCATGAATGTGCTCTAAAGTTAACTGAATTGAGGAATATAAGTTTGTTGTTTGATTTAAATTAGAAATTTATTAATGGGAGCCTCGCTTTTAGCCCTTGCTAAATCTATATATTACTATTTATTTTGCTTAAAACAAACGTTTGCAGGAACCAAAGTTCTCATGCGATGAATGTTCCGTTACCCTTTATTATTCTCGGACGGTGAAACAATTGCCGAAAGAAACGTCTGCTCTCGCAGGCTAAAATCCAGCTAGATATATATTTTTCTTACCCTTGCAGCTAACAGAANTTTAGTATGTAGTTCTAACTTTTGAGTCTGTGGATGAAATCCTATGGTGTTACCATTCAAATGAAATCTCTTCAGCAGTACTTTCACCTGGTACTATTTATTTAGTATGTAGTTCTAACTTTTGAGTCTGTGGATGAAATCCTATGGTGTTACCATTCAAATGAAATCTCTTCAGTAGTGCTTTCACCGTGTGCTATTTGTTTTTCAAAATTTCACAAGATGAAATTTGGAAACTTTGCTCGACATTTGCTTTTGGCTAAATTTGGCAGTGAAAGGGTTAAATATATACTGGCTGCCTAATGGACGTTGAACTTTACTTATCTCTGAATCAAGGTGATCATAGAGGAACCTCGATCACAGATTTTAAAGCAGTAAAAGGCGCTCTGTTATAAATTAAGAGAATGTTATTACTCAGTTAGAACAATAAGAAGCATCGCGAGGTTTATAAACAGTAAAGTTATTTTTAATTTTATTATAGTTTTTCATAGGGAATTTTTTTTAATGTTACTTTAAGAAAAGCGAAAAAGAAAAACTGTTTTGCCCTTTGCTGTTCTACCTCCCCAGACATTTTTGTGACATCTACCTAACAAGACGCTGTGGGAGCGTGCATTTGGGCGTCTCTGTTCTAGGCGTATGTGATCTCGGCACCCTAGTTAAACGCAGCAAAAATTAACTTTGGGATTACATGACAACCGAGCCAGCCCGGTTAGCTAGGATTCATTCATTCATTCATTTTTGCATGCCATTGACCAGAAATACAACAACAGTATGCAGAAATTTATAATACATTAAAGATAATATACAATATTCTAACTAAATTGTTTACAAGATCAAATGTTTAACGTGGCAATGACAAGGAAGTCTATATAGAAGCCGGAGGCTTATAAACTATAGGCTTCCTGGAACTATAGGGTAAACCATACTGATTGTCAGAGAGAATTTTACGATTATTAGGAAACCTTAAAAGACGATTGTACATTACTCTCTCTAGGCGATCTTAGAGAATTCTGGTAAAACAGACACGGGTCTGTTAAGTTTTTAAATATGTCCTTCTTACCAGCTTTAAATATAGGAATGACTCGAGCAATTTTCAATTGTTTTGGTACAATGCCAGAGGTGATGTTTAAGTTAATTATGCAGGTAAGAGGTAAAATAATTATATCAATAGACTCTTTAATTAGGTTCATAAAAATGTTTCATAACCTACAGCAGTACCTGGACGATAAGTGCTACATAGTTCAATAATTTCTTGCTCATTTGCAGCATCTAGAAATATTGAATTTACTAGTTTTGGGGGTAAAATAGAATTATACGACTTTGATTTAATGCGGGAATTTTGCTAGCTAAATTGGGGCCAATGTTCGTAAAATCATTTGCCAGATAGATTAGCTATTTCCTTTGGATGGGATGGTAAACCACGCTTTCCTTTATTTCTATTAGAAACTTTGCAAGTAGCTTGTAGCTTTTCAATTTGTTTTTCATGATATGAACGCTTAGCTGCTCAAAGAGAATGAGTAAGTTTGTTTTTGTCCGACTTATATGCATTTTCATTGGAAGAGTTAGGGTTATTAAGGAAAGACTTATATAACATATTTTTCTTCCTTGTGGATTTAGCAAGACCTTTAGTAAACCAAGGCTTACGAAGATTGAGCAATTTCGCTTTAATGGAAACATTTATCGTAAATTGAAGTATACTTTTTGACAAAGATTTCACAAGTGCAACAAGGATCATTTAAAAGAGGCATTTCAGCCGTTTAGTCGACTTTCTTTCCATCGAGTACTGATTCATGATAGTGTTCAGTACTTGATGGAAAGAAAGTCGACTAAACGGCGTTTAAACCGGCCGTAGGACACAAAGTGGCTATGACCTAAAGGTAAGGGAGCTTTTTGAATCAATATTTCGCGTGATCATGATTTTTTTTTCTTAGCGTTGTGGATTCGAATACATGTGATAGAATTCGAACAATAAGGGCCCGAATCACATGTCATAATGCAAGAAATATCGACCTTCGTTATCTTAAAGGCTACTAGTACAGATAGATAAACAAGAAGACTTAATATCTTTAAGATTTTTGCGTTTATTTAGCATCAGTGTATAATACACTAATAATTCTAGTATATTCCGACCAAATGACCTCTAAAGCCCGAACCCACACATAGTGCGCTTGGGCTGCCTCGGCACAAGTAACATTCAAAGCTCTGGATTCATTCAGCAAAACTTGTAAAACCTTTCGCCACCTGCGCATTGTGGTCTTTCCCGCTCAAATGATTCCGGATTTTTGTCAAGTGCAACAGCGGGCGGTAGTCCATAATACGAACGACCAGGAAACTGATTCCTTTTGTAAAGCTGTTATGCTGACAGGAAATAGTGAAACAAATTTAAGTTTAACAGGTGATTATTCTGTGAAAATTTCTGTGACAGGAAAGGATAAGAGGAGTGTAAATAAAGCTGTGGAAAGTTAGAAGAAGGGTTTCTCCAAAGCTTGCACCACTCAAAAAGTCAAAAACGAAACCGTCCGTGAATTGACGCAAAAGCAGAGTAAAAATCTGAGAAGAAAAGCCCAACACCGTGACGTCAGACTTGAAATTGATGATGATATGGATTGCATAGTTGTGCCAGGTGATCCACTTGAAGCTGGGCAGGTACGGTCGGGAAGATATGGCACACTATTTACGAGAAAAACAAGAAGATACAGGAGGACAAGGAGGGGATAATGGTTTCAAAAAACATACAATGGAGTTATGAAATACATGGCAAGAAAAAAGTGTTTAGCTCGAAGACAAATGGAAAGCTTGAGATGGCGCACAGCAAGGAACAATCCACAGTACAGATATCTTTACAATCAGAAAACTTTGTCATAATACAATGGAGTTATGAAATACATGGCAAGAAAAAAGTGTTTAGCTCGAAGACAAATGGAAAGCTTGAGATGGCGCACAGCAAGGAACAATCCACAGTACAGATATCTTTACAATCAGAAAACTTTGTCATAACACTGGCCACGGCATGCAGAATGGTGAGAAAATTACACTTTCCAGAAAGATCAAGGTAGCTGAAGAAGGTTAGAGAATTGACCAAGCGTTAGCTCAAGATGGCTGCTGAATATTAGTCAAGTTCTTTTTTGCGTTTTTTTTGTTTTTGACCGACACGGAGTTAACAAGGTCAAACGCAAAAAAAAGAGGGCAACATTCAGCCATCTTGACCCAACAAGCTTGCATGGTTAATAAAGGATTTATTATACGACCAAAAAGAAAACTTTTGCTTGCAGGACCAACGCGAGAAATCCCAAGCGCGCAAAATGGGCTCATCTTGCCCGTTCGGGCAACAGGATTCCCAGGATTCGCTTCATCAAGCTCGCTCGCGGACTCAGCCATATAATAAATACTGATCTTGAATGGTTTTTCGTGAGACAGTTCTGAGTTAACAGTCTTGTACATTTCATTAAGCAAGTTGTGCACACTTCTAAATCCTTTTGACTCCGCGAGGGTTAAAGCTTAAACCCACAACTCGCTAGACATAAAAATATCAGTACACCATCCAGAGCAGTCAGAGCTGTAGATTCCTGCAGTACATTTTTCGAGTTACAATTCGCAGATAATTGCTTTCCTGTTTTAAAGGTACCATCCAGACACACCATAAATCAATTATTCACTCTTTCAGCGAATTAAAACTTAAAGCAACTTTTTCTTTCTCCCAAAGAAATTTTTGTTTCAATCTCCTGGGCTCCAATGCCAAGTTCTGATATGGCAGTGCATACTGTGACTCTCGCCCCAGGCTCCTCTGAGTATCAAGATGTCGCCAGCAAATTTCGAGTAACAGGTGGCGGAATGCAAATTCAGGAAATCGAGCGAATCCATAATCCTCATCTTTACAAGCAGTACATGGTGCGAAAGTAGAAGATGGCTAAAGACAATGGGGGAAATAACGAACGACAGCTGTTCCATGGAACCGACGCTAAAAACATACGTGCAATAAACGCAAAGGGATTTAATAGGAGTTTTAGTCGGGCACTGTGGTTAGTACAATTCTAGGAAAGAAGTGTACTCGAGCTGATGGCTAATTCAATTCACGACTTTATAAAAGAGTTTTTCCTTGGGACGCAAAACCAATCATCTGAGTTAAAATGTCTATAATTTTCTATTTCTTCCAAATCTGCCCATGTTCATGTGATCACACTTTTTTGAAGGACACGTCCATTACAGATCGAGCAAAATGTAACGTTATTGCAAAATTTATAGCTTGCACAGCAGGCGCTGGTCTTTTTAGGGCGAAGGGAGAATTCTGAGGACACACGCTGGCACAAGGGGAGCAACACATGCTTCGTCAGGTAGATTTGACCTTTGGACTCAATACATTTCTCGTTTGTTTTTTGTTTAAAAGTATCGATACTTTTTTCTCCAAACCTTGTTCGTGTTGATGAGGTAAACACCCACTCACCAGTACAATTGCTAACATCACCTGCTACTTCACCTGGTACTTTTTAAGACGGGTATGTTTATCTCATTTTTGGAAAAGAGGAAGGCAGAGCATTATCATAACTCTGTAACTAACAACTAACATTTCTTTTTTTCCACGATCAGCTTACGGACGTGGTGTATATTTTGCCAAAGATACATCTTTCTCAGTAAGATATACAGGGGGTGCCGGAATAGGGGCTCATTACGTTTATCTTGCCCGAGTTCTGGTCGGGAAATACTGTCTAGGCTCGATTTCCATGGAGCCGGGTTGATCCCCCCTGCTTGCGATCTCCTCACGGTACCCTGATTATCGATCCTGCCTGTTGTACACGTACATATTTTTACGATTGAAAAAGAACACTATTTGAATATTATACCCATTGTTACGATTTTTTATCTTTTTTTTTCAGTAATCTCTTGAATTTTTATCACGTTACTTGTTTGCTCGTTAATCCGTCACTGCTGGTTGCTCGTCACTGTGTTACTCTGTTTAGGAACACCCTGAGCCCGTACTGAACACTGATCTGTACGTTACCGCAAATGATCCCCGACCGTAAATGGTCCTCCAAGGCTCAAATTATCGCACCTTTGTGTCACGTTTATTATCTTTATTATCACGACAAAAAGTATTAGTTGATCAAGTGATCAACTTTCGGTAAACACGAAAACAGTCCGCTTTTAAAACATTTTTAAGGTACATCTACATTCATAAGTTACAAGATCCTGAATAAGGACATTTCGCAAGTGGCAACCCCATAAGGAAAATTCTTTGCTTATAAATATAAAATTTTCCACTTAATAGTTCTTTTGTTTCTCGATCTTTCCCTGAATTTGTATCTCTCTTGAATATACAGGTTTGCGGCAGTATTTCCTTATCATGACTTGACTGCGATGATCTTCTTTCATATAATAGAGTCCTTACCACTAGGCGCGACAATTTCAGGAGCTGTAGTTCAGGAGTGTATTTCGAAATAAACGGAAACCTCTACAGAGTGATAAATACAGTGATCTTATTTCCCTATTCGTAGGCGTTAAAATGAAAGACAAGTTTCATTCTTAACGTCCTTCCTGAGTCCTAGATTTTTTTACAACAACGAAACATCAAATGCTTAAAAGGAAGGACAAAAAAAGTGCCAAAAGAAACAGTTCAGTCATTTACAGTTTTATCCATTTCATTGTTCTACTCGTTGTTCAAGTTCTCAGCACATTCACCATCTATGCCTAAAATCCATTCCATTCCTCTACTTTTCAAGAGATCACTTGCGGTCAACAACGGGGATCACTTGCGGTCCACTACGGGGATCATTTGCTGTACTGTACAGATCTGAGAGCCTCCGAACAAAACAACAATACAATACAATACAATACAATAGTTTATTTACCCACGTAGCGTCTATTGAGCTAAAAAGGTTGTTCGAAATACGAACGTGCTAACATAAAATAAACTTAAGAAATAGAGAATGAAAAATATATTTTATATAAATACATATAACTAGATTTATCATAAAAAAGCTAAAATGTACAACTGCAAATGCTACGATATAAGGATTATAATGACTGAAAATTACTGAAAGTAAGAATGGAACAGATAAAAGCCAATTCTAATAAACAAGATTTTAAAAAAATTGTATTTAAAACGATTTACTCTTAATCGATGCGACATCGCGAACTTGAATAAGTTTTCTTTCCTTACATGGGATTCAAGTGAGTTCCAGATTTTAGCGGCTTGGTAAGTAAAAGAGTTTTTCATCTTATTAAGGTTGAACCGTGGCATGCTAAGATTGACACCACAGCCTCTTAAGTTATAGCGGAGCTCCTCGCGCGCGCGAAGCGCGCGCAGAGCGGAGCACCATGGGTAAGAAAATTTGGTAAACTATCCATCTGAGAAAATTTGGTTATGACGTAGCGTACGCCCGCCCGCCCACCCGTACACACGCTTCATGTAAGCCGATGTCAAATGTCACAATAGATCTTGCACAACTTGACTAGCCTCTTAGTTATGTAAGCTATCCGTATGAGTGCGATTAGATTGACAGCTGTCAAAATTAGGTATCCGCTGACAATTATCACATGACTATCTCGCGGGCTCAGGTGAAAGACCAGTCGTTTTGCCCATACATATAAACTGATATAATATGTCACACTTACCAATTCAAGATACTCACACTCGTAGTCTGTTAATTCGAATATTCGCCATTCTTAATTGACAGCTGTCAAACTAGAGTATACGCTGACTATCATCACCTGAGTGTATCGCGGGCTCATTTGTCTATCTATTGAGGTCACGTAGTGTTTAAAGTTTTGCGCGGATATTTTATTTGATCACGGGCTCAATTCGAAGTCCCATAGCTTAGAAANCTGCGAATGTTTTTTTTTTTTTTTTCGAATGTATGCATTACATAACTAAGTGAGTAAAATAATTGTCAAGTCTTTCTTTGCTTAATAAATGGAAAAAGACGATTTTCACACTTAAAAAATACTAGTTATTTCGTGTGAACTACCAGACGTTACATGTCAAACAACCGGACATTGCGCCCGGCGTCCGGCCTAAAAAAAACCCCTGATAAAGATTTATAAAGTAACAAAAGTGAACTTCATAGTCTCCTGTGTTCTAGAGTTTTCATGTTTACAATCCCAAGTAGTTCTTGATGTGAGATAGTTTTACTATAACTTATGATAGATCTCAGAATTTCACAAAATTACATTCAGAATTTTACCTGTGTTTTCACAATTCTTGTGAAATTTGATATTCATTTTCTCGGGCTCCCATGAGAAATTTTCCTTGGGGTTAATACAGATGACTAGTTACATCTTCAGTCCTTGAAAAATGTAAAAAAAGAATGCAATATGCGTTAAATTATTCTGGTACAAGGTTTTTGTCCGCTCAATATTAAAATAACTCAATTTCCTAATGGATTCCGTCTAAAAGCGTTCATAAAATGTTAAAAAGAAGAGGCCCCAAAAGGGACCCCTGAGGTACACCAACTTTAACGTCTCTGTGACTAGAACATATCCCATTAACTTTAACCTCTGCTTGCGACCCGTCAGGTAAGAGGACATCAGGTGCAGGGCCGATGAGGAGAGACCATATGCGCCAAGTTTAGCTAGCAGTAGACTGTGATCAATTGAGTCAAATGCTTTGCTAAGTCCATGGCAACTGCAACAACCGCTTCCCTTTTGTCTAGAGATTTCCTCCAGTCCTCGGACATTTTCAGGAAAGCAGAATAGAAAGAATGGTGCATTAAAGCTCCTGACATATTCGACGACAGATGAAGTTTGAAAGGTGTTGGACAAAGCAGTCAAAATTGAGATGGGACGATAGTTAGCTTTGTTTGTGTCCTCGTCTTTCTTAAAAACTGGGTTCACGATACTGCATTTCCACTCTTGTGGCCAGGATTGACTGTTGATAAAGAAGTTGATTAATTTGGTAATTTCGTTCACTATACCGGGGGCAGAGAGGCGAAGCAAGCGGGAAGAGATACCATCTACCCAAACAGCCTTCTTAGGATGTGGGTTGTGTAGTATAGTACTCACGTAGCTGGAACTGACAGGCACGAAGTTGAAGTTGACCAGTGTGTCTCTGTCTGCTATGAGTTTAAAACTTAGTGGGTAGTAAAATTCTGCGGATTCAGCACTGAGTTGAACTGCTTGAACCATATTTGAGAAGTTATCATTAAAAATTTCTGCCAGTTTACTGGGATTGGAAATAACACAGCCATTCTCGACAAGAATTATTAATACTACTTTGTGTGTTTGACTGTGAGCTTGGAAGGAGTGGTTTCATTTTCCGTCAGAATTCCCATGGGTTCTTTGATGCAGTAGCTGCGTATGCGCAAAACTCCTTGACACCTTTGCGTTTGAGAGAAGTGACTTTGTTACGCTGTCTTTTACAGCATTCCCACGTTTCAGTTGAAGGATGTGTTCTAGGGTGCCTAAACATCCTCTTTCGTAGTCATATTTCTCGTTATTGAATTTCAGGCAAAATCGACGGCAGTTGGTCACCACGTACCCATTTTTTCTTTATCGGGGCGTGTTTATCGAGAATATTCTTGTATAAGGAACTGCAATGAGCCCACGCATCGTCTGCAGCATCACAAATAAAAGCAGTTCCCCAGGGAACCTCTTTGAGATCAGACAAAAGCAATTCTTGTTCAAAACGTTTATAAGGCTACGATATTCAACAAATCGTGGCTTTGGGCGCGGTAGTTTGTTCTTCCTTACTACTTAGATCAAGTCGGGAGGCCAAACTGTAACGTTCCAGAGAATGAAAATCACCGCTGATTACTAGTTCAAGCAACATCAATTAAGCTTTTTGTTGATGAGGTGACACAAGTTGGTTCAGGAATGTTGTTTCGCGAGGCAAAAAGGCTCACAAAAAATCAACCAAGCGGCTGTTAGGTGCTCGTCCTTCAGCAATGTTGTTGCATAAATCCATGTTAAAATCACCAAGAAATAGTGGTTCCTTTCTTAAATTCTACATGGTTTCCGCTGCAGTGGCATGGATGCTAGAAAGTCTTGTTCTTTGCATTTACCTGGCGATCGGTAGCAGGCACAGATAATAAATCGGCATTTGTTGTACGTCTTACGCATCGAGGCAAATCGATCCTATATCAGTTGGTTCCAATTTAGACGTCCTATACACGGACAGACCTACTTTGGTGTACGCCTAAGTCCACCAGCGCCCTTTTTACGTTCCTTGCGAACTATACGACATCCTTGCTGCGAAAGAGACGTCGAGGAAACGGTGCTGTCGATTTTCGTCTCACCATTAAGAAGATATCAAACAAATTCTTGTTTAGCATCTCCTTGACTTCGTCAACATTGTTCATTAAACTGTTAACATTTTGGTAGGCTACCTTAAGATTAAACTTATAATAGTTACTGAAGTTAGACTGAAACCAAGACAAAGCGACCGGTCGCCGCACGCGTAAAATAAATTCCCATCAAACTGAAATTAAAGATATTTTTCTTGAAATAAAGTTTACGAAGACCTATATTCTGACAAAGTTTGCGGATTTACGATTTTTTCATTTTGCACACCACCAGGCGATTTACGGACGGCCGCTCGTAAGGAGGGCATGAAAACAAGAAAACAATTTTCCGTTTCTTTTTCTGAAAGTCGATACGGTCTTTTGCATCCAATAGAGGAGTTCACGCTCATAGTTGCATCATGGGTAATCAGGGTAAGATGGCGGAAAATTCAAAGATTTGTATAGAAATTCAAAGCCAGCTAATTCCTCCCGAATTCATATATTTGATGCTTTTTATGTGAAAAGAGTAACTTACGAGTTCAAAGAAACTACGCCTTAAATCTGTAGTGCAAAGAAGTCCGTGATCAGTTTTTAGAAAACCTTTAAAATTTTTCCATACATTTTCTGTAATTTTGATACTGCCGAATTAGAGAAACTGTATGGGAATATCAAGGTTTTCTAAAAACTGATCACGGACTTCTTTGCACTCCAGATTTAAGGTATGGCTTCTTTGAACTCGTAAGTTACTTTTTTTTAAAGAGAAAGCTTCAAATATATGAATTCAGGAAGAATTAGCGGGCTTTGAATGCCAATACAAATCTTTGGATTTCACTCCTTCTTGCCCGGATTACCCATGATGCAACTATGGGCGTGAACTCCTCTATTCAGCTCTAGAAAAACTTGTGAGAAAAAAATTGTGAGGGCCTGATTCGCTCTAGACTTTTCAATCAGGCATGTCGGCAAGACTCGGTACCTAGTTTTTGAAAAGCGTGTGGTCTCCTTGCCAAACCAAAAAGTTTGCCTTCAGCAGCTATTTTGTTTTGTTTGCGAATTCCTGTCTCGTAAGTTCAGTACCGGGCAAGTTACCGAGAAAAATACCGAGATCAAAAATAATGGTAGTTACAAGTAACACCGGAAAAGTTTACGGAGACTTACCGGGCGCCTTATCGGGCCCGTTATTTGCTGGGAATTTTCTAGAAATGGGCCCCCTAGGTCGCCCCCTGGGTCGCCCTCTGGTGAGACTACAAATTCCTCGCGATTTTCCGGGAACGCCGGAAGCAAATGCAATTTGTTCCGCGAAAACTGCTAGAATTTACATGTCAAGTGAATTTGAAACTGCCGATTTCCGCAATATAAAACTTTATTTTTCTTCCTTTTTTCTGTGTTAATCGGGGGCAGAAGGTGTCATAAGATCAGACATTGCAGGATATCAAATCAATTTCGGGTACGTTTTTCTTGATATATTAGCTGCAGGATTTCGCCAGTACAGCTCTAATAGCCCAATTTCACTTAAGCAGTGACTATAGTCTATTAGTAGCGTCCGCGATAAGCTCATGGTCTTTCCTCAACCTTAACTTCTGAAGCAAAGAACTTTTAACAGTCGGTAGTTGTCGCCCAAGTACTTATCCTTGTGAGATTACTTTGGTGCTTTGAAAGTTTACTAGGCTGTCAAGGATATTTTAATTCAAACGTTGGCCGGAAGTACTGTCTGCCATATTCAGGGGTTTTTTTTGTGGTCTTTTCTGTATTAGTGACAAGATGGGTTATTCTTTCATTTCATAGCACGTCCTTCACTTGCATGTTCATATAAAATTTCACTACGGACACCGGCAACTAAAGCAATGCATAGTAACGGTAAGTAACTGAATTTTTGCACTTTTTTCACGCTAGAATGACCGATTGTGTACAAAACCGCCTTATTTAATGATCAGTCACTCTTAGACTTAGGGTTCTAACGTTTGGAGATAGCTTTATTATGACAAAAATTTAGAAAACCTAGACAAAGTAGTTAAACAATTTCTACTGAGAGCCATCATTACAGACATTACTGAAACCATCCTCGTGACATGTCATTTACCCTCTGGGGCGGCACATACCTATATGGCTTAAGTCATGGACCAATTTAGTTCCTTTATATATGCGAAATGTGTTTATTAATCGGACAGGATATGAAAGAAATAATAAAAAGGTTCATAGATTCTGAATGGACACCATAAAATCATTTAGGGTCTGCGTCATCTTGTGGAATGGCTTGGATAAATTACTGTACAAGATGTAATGCGTGTTTGATACAATAGCTTTCACTTCTGTACACACATTCCTGTTTATTACCTTGCAAAAGATATGATTTGCCGTTGGAAATTATGATAAACGGTATTATTCGCTCGATGGGAACGAGGAACTCTCCACAAAAACAAGCTTAAATGTTTTTTACTTTATTACAAAGCAGAAAGACACTCTTTAACTTCTAAGGTCTTCTATTTCACTTCACAACTTTTTTCTTCAACTAAACCTTGTTCTTCTGTAGTTCACTTTCTCTCTCTCTAAAAAGCCTACTACTTAGCAACGCTGGTTAATAATACACTTACGATTTCATTAACATACGAATAACTCGTGACCCAAAATTTCTTCGAAAAGCTTTTCTTCAGTTCAGGAGCAGGATAACCACTAAAGGAAAACTAACCATGCAGCCAAGTGAAGTTCAGTAAAAGAAACACACTTTTGCACAGTTACTTTAAATTTACTTGGATCTTTGAAGCTAACACTCAAAAGTACAAACTTCGTTAATATATATATATATAGTAAAAAAAGCGGGACAACTCTCATATTCATATGGGAGAACAAGATAAATAGACGGAAAGCTTTGCCAACAAAAACGAGCCAGATGGACATTGCCCAACTAAAGAATGATGCACATGATCTGATTACGTGCATGATGCAGGAAAGCACACTTATTAAAGATAAAAGTTCATTAGTAAATGCATTATTATCTTATTTCATACTTATTAATAAATGGTTACAATGTAACCTAAAACGCTTTTTGATCTGATATTTATCGAACTTTCATTAACTTTCCATATATCTTTAAAATCGGGGAGATACGTCCCGTGACAGTTATGACTCTCATTCTTTATTTTGAAATATACCATTAATCTAAAGCACTCTAAATTAGCTAATACTAATTTACCCTTTCAGCAGCAAAGTAAAACTGAAAAAAATGCGACTGTTTTGTATCATAGCAATACCTTTTCCAAGCACATGGGCTCCAATGCCACACCCTGACATGACAGTACACGCTGTGACTCTCGACCCAGGCTCCTCTGAGTACCAAAATATCATGAGCAAATTTCAAGCAACCGGTGGCGGAGTGCAGATTAAGAAAATCGTGCGCGTTCAGAATCCTCATCTTTACAAGCAGTACATGGCACAGAAGCAGAAAATAGACAAAGATAATGGAGGAAACAACGAACGACAGCTTTTTCATGGAACCGACGCTAAGAATATATGTGCAATAAACACAGAGGGGTTCAACAAAAACTTTTGTGGGGTACACGGTAAGTGCTTTTTTGGGCAGGGGTGTGAGGAAGAAGTCTAGTTTCCCATTAATATACGCCCCAAAAAGTAGACGCAAAAAGAATTTGAGACTAAAAATGTTTGGTCTGTTTTTGTTTAAAGGGTGTTTTTATTTTAGTCTTTACTTTTTAGAGTATTTATGTGGTTTTTATTAACATGTCTGTCATGGTATCATAGTAAGGTATAAGTTTTTAAGAATTTGATCTTTAATCTGAATTTCCTTATCATGATAATAATACTAATAATAACAATAATAATAATAATAATAATGATAATAATAATAATAGTAATAATAATAATTATTATTATCATTATTATTATCATTAATTATTATTAATTATTATAATAGTAAGGAAAACTGCTGCTGGTAAAAAAGCAAAAAATGGGAGTTGCACAGTGGCAGTTCTAACAAGGTTGAGGGCTATTTTTTAGGTTTTCAAAAGAAAGTTATGTTACAGTTCATATGGAAGACCATTCATAGCCACTCGTGACTGAAGTTTTTTTGTTTTCCTTCCAGGAACAGCCTATGGGCGCGGTCTGTACTTTGCCAGAGACGCATCTTACTCAGTTGGATATGCAAAGGGTGAGATTGGGGGCCGCTTTATGTACCTTGCGAGGGTCCTGGTTGGGAAATATTGTGCAGGTAACTCTGGTATGATCGTCCCACCACCAAAGAACCCTTCCAGACCGGAGATTTTGTACGAGTCTGTGGTTGATAACACAGGAAACCCATCCATCTTCGTTGTTTTCTACGAAGCACAGTGTTATCCTGAATATCTCATAACCTTTTAATTCCATTTAAAATGTCGAAATCCCTATTCTTTTTTAGCGGAGCACCAAATTCACGTATTTGCTTTGATAGACAATGAAATAGATCGTTATATAACTAGACTGTCCTCATTCCCCTATTTTTTTCCGTTAGATTGTCGAGATCGAATACTTTGCGTCACGGGCTGCCATCTTGGATGAGTGTCAATTCTACTTAGGGGGCGAGGGACGGTTTGGTATGAAGCCTCCCTCCCTACCCCACCACTATAAATCCCGACGTTTGCCCCCTCAGTACGTTTTTTTACATATGAAACCAAGATGGCCACCCGAACCGGTAAGCGCTCGATCTTGGCGGTCTTGCGAAAAATGATTGTGAACAGTGTGTTGTATAACCATATGAAAATTTTTCCCAGTACTAGCGCGTATTAGGTATAGCAGGGCATGAAATTGACTTTTTTCCAGGATTCTGGTGTTGGCAATTTCAAAAAGCTGGCCTCCCATCCAACCAATGAATGACGGTTCTGTATCAAGAGAGCGTTCAGAGATGGCAACAAAAAAGCAAAAAAAGCGTTCAGCAACATTTCGTAATGACAAAACAATAAAAGTGTTTTTTTAATATTGGCCGTTTCCACACTAGAAGATGGACAAATTGTCTGGACAAACAAGAGGTCAAGTATGAAAACGTTCTCTTCTATATATCCTCCTAAGCACGCAAAACCGTTTACTAGCTTTGTGTCGTCACGCAACATCCCCCCCCTCCCCCCCGGGTGAAGGGAAGGAGCATTGCAACAGGGTCCCGAAAAGATCAGTTTGAACATATGAATTACTTTTCTAAAGTCTCATCTGATATATGTATGACAATTAAAAAGCCCAAAGGGCTCTTTCTATCCATTTTAAACAAGTTTTCTACCCCATATCTCATTGACGCCAAATATACTGCCAGTTTGAAAAAACTAACCGCTTGCCAATTTCTCGAAGGCGCAAAACCCGTTGCCCGAAGCATGGCACAAGGTGCTGAGTACAAATCTCAGGCAGAAAACTCAGTACGAGAGTTTTTAAAATAATTAACGAGGCCCCTGTCATTAATACGTGTGGTCTCCTACATATTGCGTTAAGTGTTTTTTTATTGAAAATTACAGCTATTACTTATCTTCTTGAATCTATTACCCGAATTTCCATATAAATCCTTTATTTTCACGGCCATTTTAAAGATTACGCAATATGAGACCATACGTATTGATGATTAAACTCCTGTATACTGAGCTTGGGATGCCGGCGTATAAATAAAGTCAAGGGTATACCATGTGACAGGGATGTGACAAATTCGATTTGAACAGCAACAGCTTCCAGGGGTGTAAGGTTAATAATGAATAATGTTTAAAAGAAAATGAATAATGAATATTTGGAGTTGGAAAATCCGGAATTATGAATAACGCTGTCTAGCCTCGGAATAATGAATAACTCATAAAATGAGGGTCTCAATGGGGTTAACCGGTAGGCGTAAAAAGGCCAAAAATTTAATCGATAGCCGTAAAAATTGAAAAGTTTTACCTTTTAATCGTAAATTAGAAAGAAATTGTTCCTTAAATATTTTAAGGAAGGTGCTAAACTCACTTATGGTTGCGTTTCTTATTTCCCGGCTACTTTGACTCCGTACGCACGTTAGGCCAAGCGCCTTTTAGGTGTTGACCAGGACCTATGCTCCATTTCCGCCGCTCTCTCGAAGAACCAAGTTTTTTCCACAGCGAAAATCTGGCTTCTTACTGGGGATTAATATTTGTGATTTTCAGGAGGCGTGCCCTCGAAATACTAGTGAAACAACAGCAGAGACGTCACTGTTTGTAAAACACATTGCCGATAAACAACAATTCCTTGTAACAATTCCCTGTTTTTCTCTGACGCTAAGGTGTACATTGCCATGCCTAGTCCCTGTACTAGCTGTACGGCGTCTTCCCACGCAATCTCGGTCAAGGCATTTCGGTGGCGTATCTGAGAAAAAAACTGGCTCAGACCACGTGACCCGAAAAGCATTAGCCGCGCGGAAAAATTAGCAATTATTCTATGAAATCGAGGTGAATAGTGGCTAAATATTTACCGAGCCGCGAAAGCGGCGAGGTAAATATTCCCAATGCCACTATTCATCGAGATTGAAAAGAATAATTGTTTTAGTATATACACACAAAGTGATCTCAACAAAATCAGAGAGGAAACCATTTAAAAGTACGATTTGATTGACAGATCAAATCACGCGAAAATTTAAAAATAGATCTTTGCAGAATGTTCAAACATGGCAATTCACAAGTTTATCACGTCTCAAACAACAGCGTAATGGCTTAAATGAAACCGCTAAAAGTTTTAACTGTTTCCTTACCTGAGAAGAAAAGTGGAGCTTTGTTGTTTTCTGTTGACTCGCCAAGTTTATAGCCAAAAGGGTTTGTTGTGTTCTTCGCATGAAATGCTGACAAAAATGGCGGCTCGGTTACTCGAGGTAAGACGTCGTCTTCCTGTATCATTCTTTTTCCTGTTTACTTGAAACGTAGAATTTCTGCAAACGCATTTCCTTATAAACTTGTTTGTCATAAATAAACTTCAATTTTAGAGCCAAAATTGTCTTGTTAGAAAACGCTGAGTTCACGAAACGGCTTCTTCTACGCGAATACACGGGAGTTGTAAACAATCCATCGAGCACAAAACTCAGCCTCAGTAAATTGAAAAACGCCATATTGAATCCTTTCAAGTCTTTTCTTGCCTCAAAAAAAGTGAACCCCAGGATTTTGTCGACTTTTAAAAGATCGTTCTCTAAAAAAATGGGAAAAACACCGAGCTCACACATTATTCACTCGCTAGGGGGTGAATATTGTTGAATAGTCCGATCAGATTGTTTAAATCACCAAGATCACTGAGTGTGTATATACTAATGAGGCCTATGGACAAGGCAACGGCAGACAGTAGTTCTGTACAGTCCTTCGCTTTAAACTGTCCGTCACAATTGACGGATAAAGTCAGGCGGATTGTTCTATTGACATTTCTATGCGTATAATAACAATAGAAGTCAAATACTTTATAAAAAGTATGATCTATCAAACGTCAAAATTTTCAAAAGAATACTGAACTTATTTCATCCCGAGATGATCTTTTGATAATAGAAAAAAATCAGGTTTTTTAATATTTAACTCTTCGAAACAAAAGAAATAAATTTTTTAACTTTTTTTGTTAACCGTAACTGAAAAAAAATTACCCGATAGCCGTAAAAGAGCCAAAATTTTAGCCGATAACCGTAAAAGCCACCACCCCATTGAGACCCTCATAAAATCCGACCGAGTAGTAACTTGGTAGGTGGTGCAGTATAGCAGGTCCCCTACAAGCAAGCAGCTTATCCTGCCCGACTTGGAGCCAAGTCTATTACGCGCGGATTTATTGTACAGAATTTATTAGTGTTCGTTTCAGTTATAGTTTATTTGTTACAGTCAAAGCTGTTGTAAGCGCCCACCTCGGAAATTCTAAAAAGTGATCGTGACTAGAGCTGGTCGCTTAAGAGAATAAGCTCTTGAAAGCGACCGTATGCATGGTAAAACAAGAGTTGTCGCTTACGAGAGCTTCAGAAACTCATTAATAATCCTTAAAGAAAAAACAAAATAAACTAGTTATAGTTATCGCTAAGTGCCAACGAGCAAAGATTTTACCTAGTACGCGAGCGCTGTTTAATTTGTATAGAAATGTCATGAATTGCGGTAACTTACAAAAAACAGTTTGAACTCAATTCGATTGCTTAAGCGAAAATTAGAGCCGGTCGTTTACGAGAGTTGTCCTTAGTAGAGCTTCGGCTGTAGCTAATGTTTTTTAGTACTTAAGGTTATCAAGCTGCTGTTGTTAGGTCCTTCACGTTCTAGTAATTGCGTAAACCGGGTCTGTTGATCGAAAAAGGACAACATTATCTTGACCACATGTATAGAAAAAATAGAAAGGTACTTCAGGGCTAAAGATAAGGTTGGATGTATACTGAAAAAGAAGATTGTGCTAACCAAAATGTAGAATTGTAGAACATTTCGGTTAACATAAATTCCATTAACATTGTTTAATCTCAAGGTTTCCACCTCGCTTTTGCAGTACGATTCTCTTCCTTTGTGATACAATCAAAAGTTACTTAATAGTTAGTATCACAGTTTTAACTATTCACAGAAAGGGAATTTGAAAAGGAAAACTGATATTAAAACTAAAACTTGAACAATGAATATCACGGAAAAATTTAAAATGAATAATGAATAATTTGGAGGAAAAAGCAAAGAATAATCGTGATCCAATTATCGAGCTTCCACCCCCGAAACAGCTGGCGACGGAAGTGAGCGAGCCGCAAACGGAAGAGTAGAGAGGTAACAAAACCGTTCATCAGCCTTTTAGAGGGAGAATATTAAAAAGTTTAGATATGTTTGATCAAAAATAAAACACCAACAGCGGTGATAAACATTGTGAGTTTTCGCGTTTTTATAAACTTAACGTTTTGTATATGCTACAACATACATTTTCAAAAGTGATCCCATTTAATGTCATGTCCGGTGGCAGTGACATGGTCAGCAATGTAATAGCTGAAGAGTGATCATTTTTTGTATGATAAAAGAAACATTGTTTATACAAGACCTTGAGCCAGCTTTAAATCTCAACATCAGCAGTGAAAAGCTGATACTTTATCTATTGCCTGTATGTTGAATAGCATACGAAACGTTAAGTTTACAAAAATGTGAAAACTCACAATTTTTATCACCTCTGTTTATGTTTTATTTTTGATCAAACTACCATGGCCCATGAACAAAAGTCTTTAGATATGTTTTTCTTTTTCTTTTTCATTTCTTCTGTACATTGGTTTAAGGTTCGCGGCACGACATGAAAAGCTAGCAGAGTAGAGAGAAATATCGTCCGGGGCACCCAACGAGAATAGACCTTGTCACGGTTTTCGACGCCATCTTGACGAGTAGGCAAACGCGTGAGAAATTACAGTGTTTGTATGAGAATCTAATGTCGAATAATTT